CCCATTTATTTATTCTTTTGTAACAGGGATCGTAATTTTTAAAAATTATTTGCTTGTCTCTCTCCTGAGAAAATGTAAATAGTACCAGGGCAGGACCGTATAGTCTGTCAAAGCACCACAAGCACAGTTGGCTAAGGTGAACAGGCACTCAGATATCAATGAGTAAGTGTATCTATATAACCAAGAATGGACAAAACCTGAATCTAGTGGCAGTGTATTTGAAGTAAAATAAAAGTTAAAATTGTTATTCACAGTATTTAACTTTTAAAAAAATGGTATTAACCAGACTGAATGAAGTTAACAAAACTGTAGGAAACAGTAAAGACTAGTTTTTATATCCACTGCTCAATAAGTTTTCCAGGCAATTCAATCAAAAGTCCCAAATCTCTTTTAGACTTAAATGATAGCTAGATTTTGCTGTGAACATGTTGGATTTGAAACTTTGTGGGAGTTTAAAGTGTTACACTGATGAAGCACATATTCTAGAAATATCCTAGATACATTAAAAGCTCTAAAATTCTTTATGGCTGAGAATCAAAGTCCCTATTTCAGCCATTTTAGACATAAATCTTTGACCATAGTAAAATGCTAAATCAACTGCAGGCCTTAGCACCTCTCTTTTGAGTATGAACAGAGCTACATGTTTTTCCATCTTCAGCCAAAATGACAACTATTTTCCATTTTCAGCCTTTTGCTGTGTCTATCAGAGGGAAAGTGAGGTGGAGAGGGAATAAATTTCAAGTATTTCTTAGATTTCATGCTGTAATATAGACAGAGACCAGACATCAGCTCTTTTATCTACTGTTGGTATAATTCGAAAAACTCCTCAAGCAATGACCCACTTTAAACTGCACATTTGCCCTCTCAGTAGATAAGCAAAAGATGTGGCAACTGATCGTTTGTATGGTAGAGCTAGTTGTCATTGTTTATTGAATACCTGCATTAGTTGTTTGTTGCTGTGTAACAACTTACCCCAAAGCTTAGCAGGTTAAAACAACAAACATTTCTCATCTCACAGTGTCTGTGGTTCAGGAATCTGAGAGCAGCTTTGCTGCATGCCTCTATCTCAGACTCTCATCAAGTTACACTCGGGCTCTCACCTGGGAGGGCTGTCTTATCTGACGACTTGATTGGGGGAAGATGAACTACTAATTCACTCACGTGGTTGTTAACAGGATTCAATTCCTGGTCACGTGCACCTTTCCATAGCATAGCTGACAACATGGCAGCCTTCTGATTTATGATCCTCCTTACATAAACAGTACTTCCCCCATCTCTGGAAGCTTTGGAGGCACTTTTTTTTTTTTTTTGTCCCTGCTATATAAACTACAGCATCATAATGATATGCATTCATGTGGGTGAGGATCGAGTGAAATGAACATGAAAGGTCAAAGTAGGATGATGGTTAGAGAAACACTGTGCCCTTAGCAGGTAAGCATGGTGGATGGTGAGCTGGAGAGGAGCTGGGGACAGAAAGAGAATGTTACACTTAACTCTGGAAGCAGGAGGATCAGGGATGTTCCAGGCAATGATCCTATCTTCCCTGGTGCCTTTCCCAAGTTGGAAGGCATTTCTCAAATGCCATACCTCCTGGGAGTCTCTAGACTCCATCGAAATCTCCCAACTTCTACCCTGTACTAAAGTCGAGGGGCACATGAAGCACCAGTTCACAGTCACCCAGTAAGCCCACAAACCAATGTTTTTCTTGAACTAATCCAGCAACTCATAATGCTTAACCCCTGAATCTGGTACTTTCATTGTTATTACTATAGAAATGTCTGGATGGTTTTTGAAAGTGAGGCTGGACAGATTATGTACCTTAAGTCAGAGCATAGATATGAAAGTGCTTGTTAAGTTGTTAAACACTGTTCAAGTTAAGTTGTTGGATCACTGACATTTAGAGAAATCAAACTTTCCAATTGCATAGAAAACAGATACAGTGGTATAAAATACAAATTAACACTGTATAGACAACTGTAAGTAAACCACTTTCCTAATACCAGCTGTCCCAGTGTCTCAGTGTTTTCAGCTTTTCTAAAGTGTGTTAATTTGGGGAACATCACCATGTTGACATTATGGGAATTTTCTATTCCTTTTTTCATGAATGAGTGCATTCTGCAATTTGCTTTCTGTGTTCCACCTTCTTGAATTAGAAGGGTTATTCTGTTCTTTTTCCCTCTGCCTTCCCTTTTTTCTTATGTACTTATTTTTTGGGCAAAGACAGATGTTTTAGAAAACTGAACCCTTGAGTCTCTGTGAATGATTTTCATATTAATAAGGGCAAATTGTTGTGCTGGCTGTAAGCAACTGGCACATGAATCTTTGGAAATACTGTACAACCTGCTACCCAGCAAGGATCAGGATCTTTTTAAGAGTCACTGTGCTGAGAAATAACCCACTTACTTACACAGTTGTCCTAGCATGTAGAGCAGATTTGCTCCTATCATTGTTTTGCTGCAAATGGCAATGGTAAATATAAAAAAGTGGTTTTCTGTCTTCTGTAGTCTTAGGGAATTATTATGGAACTGGATTTGGAATATAAAAGCAACCTTTTCAATACAGAAACATTGGAAACACCCCAAACACAGTAGGGCAATATTCACATAGAAATGAGAAAAAGCAAATGATGGAGCATCATGCTATTGCTATTGATTTCTTTTGTCTCTATTTAAAATATGTTAAACTGATATATTTCATACAAAGTACCCTATTTATAACAACAGTGAATTAAATGGGTTTTGTCTTGAATGAAATACTTTTTAAACTATCAGTAGTTTTGTTTCACTCTATTTTTTACTCCTCACAGCTTTACCTAGTGTCCATAACGGGTTAGAAAATTGCAAAAAGTTAAAGGGGAATAAACAGTAATTTTTTAGTGTACTCAGAAGCAGAGAAGAACTTTTTCATGAGTGTTGCCAAGATGAAAATGAATGAGGAAATAATTTGTTAAAACGGGAAATGGGATAGAAGGGGAAAGTTGCCTAAGTACAATGATCCACAGATATTATAAAGTTCCTAACATTGAGGTGAATTACAGAATGTATAAACCTCCATCTTTTCAGGAATTGAGAATCTATTTAGAAAGAAAAATTTGTGCATATGAAACAAAACAGTAAAGTAATATTAATATTAACACCATGTCCACTAGGTACAAGAGTGTAGAAGAGAGAAAAGGTCGAGTAAAAACTCCAATAGTTTTTGAAGAATGGTTAAGATTTAAGTGAAGAACAGTTCCAGATTATAGCAAACATATCAAAATGGATTTGGAAGTCAAAATGTAAACAACTTCTTAAAATATTTATGTACTTTAAAAAGCCACGAACAGACAGACACTCACAAACTATAGACAAAAATCAAGGCCAGTAACACTGCCAACAAAAAATTCAGCAAATAAATAAAATATTTTAATTTATAAGTTATATAAGGAAAAATTTAAAAAGTTCTTCAAAAGATAAGGAAAAGATACATACTCTGCTAGAAAAATGGGAAAAGTACTTCAGCAGAAAAATTACAAAACAAGAAATATAAAGGGTATATCTCAAAATATTTGGCCTCAGTAAAAATCAAAGAAATGTAAATGTAAACAATAAATTGCAAGTTTTATCTTATAACATTGGCAGTGGTTTAAAAAATAACGGTACTCATAAATGAAGAGGAACAGTCACTTACATACTATTGATGAGAATTTAAATTCTTATGGCAGTGTGGCAATAAATCAAGAGCCTTAAAAGAAACATAATTTCCAGTATAGCAGTTCTATTCCTAGGAGTTATCCTAAAGCAATCATTAGAAAAAAATGAACACAAGAAGTTTATGGAACCTTTATAATACAGAAACATTAGAAATATCCCCAAAAGCAGTATGGCTATATTAACATAGAAATTAATGTTGAAATGGGTAAAAGCAAATGATGGCACATCATGCTGTTACTATAAGAATGGATACTTGGGGAATGTGTGTGTGTGTAAGTATCTGAATACAGTAGGGGTATCAGGGAGGTTATATGCACCACATTGTTAATCATTCTTTACTCTGGTTAGTTGGAACAACTGGTGACCTTAATTTTCTCCTTTTTGCTTATCAATACAGTGAACATCTGTTATTTTTGGAAATACATTCTAAAGAAAAACAAGGATCAGGATAAGAGACAGTTGCTTACAATGTTCATTAAGAATGCATTTTCTTGTTTAAATGTTAGGAAGCGGTGTGATATTAAGTTCTAGAACCTACAGAAGTTGCCTTGAAAAGATCCCCCCCTCCACTTGCCTAGAAAGGCTAAGTAACCCTAGACATGTTTTTTTTTCTTCCTCCGTCCCTCCCTTCCTCCCTCCCCCCTGCCTTCCTTCCTTTCTTCCTTTCTCTTTACAAGAGAACAAATCAATTCTTTTTATGTATTTAGTTTTTAGTGAGTTTAAATCCTTGACGGGTATAGCATTACACAGATTCTCTGTCCAATGGCCTTAGCAGGAAGGTTGCTTCAGAATTTAGCATGAACCATGCCACTGTTTCCCTGAGCATGAGTTACCTTTCCCCAGATGACTCTGTTTTTGTTCAGTTTGCCACCAGTAGTAACCATATCTCTTACCTAGACAGAATTCGGTTTCATCTCAAGCATAAACACCTATAATTTTGAGAAGAGCTGTGTGCTACCACTGGTTCCAGAGTCCTCACTTAGAGCCGGCAAAAATTGCCTCGGACCACAGCCTTCCAGACATATTTGTCAGTATAGAAGTCCTGTTCCCAGCAGGCCTCCCAGGCTCCAAGATGGCAGAAGGAGGACTTTTTTTTTTCCTTTAAACTTTTAGAGAATTGTGCACCTGTGTAGTTGATAACTACAGGATATGGTTAGTTTTGTAACAGGTACAGATTAGTAGTTTGTGTTCATCTATAGTTAATATCTTTGACTTAGATCTTCAGAAGCTTCTGAAAGAATCTGGATATTATAGTTTTCATTTCCTTGATCCTTGTAATGTTTTATTATTTCTTTTCCTTCTGTTTAGGTTCTGTCAAAATGAATGGATCCAGTGTGGTGAACACACCACCTAGCGTAAAATCCAAAGAGGACCAGGGGTTAAAAGGGCACGATGAGAAGGAAAACCCATTTGCAGAGTACATGTGGATGGAGAATGAAGAGGATTTTAACAGACAGGTAAAGAAATGAATGAAAGGACAACAATGTATGTAACTCAGCAGCTGTAGTATTTTATTGTCAGTCTGTTAAAAAAAGAACTGAGTCATTGGCTTTACAATAGCTTAAAAATACAGGGAGGCCAGGTCTGAGGGGACCAGGAAGCACCTTCAACTGGTAAGAGACCAGACAGTACTTTGGAGGAAGATCGTGATATTTTTCCACTACATTGATTAAAAGAGGACTAATGCCATGGTGATCTGGTGTAGACTTCTGGAAAACAGCAGTTTTGTGCAGACAGGCCAGCCTGGCATGCCCCAAATAGGAACTCAGGAACTGGCAGAATGTGAGCCTGAGATAGCTAAGAGTGTAGTAGGGTGGGGGACAGCTAGGCTCCTTCAACAAAGATTCAGCAGTAATTCATTGTCTTCTTATCTCTACAACACTAACAGCCTAAGGTAAGTCATTCCAGGTAGATAGGTGGACTACACAGTTCTTCCAAGGTGTTGCTTTTCCACCCCTGGGGCACTTATCAGGTGGGTAGCTGAAGGATAACTGGAAGTCTAGCCACTGGGAAAGGGAGAGAGCTGAAGGCCAAGACGAGGGATGTCCTTTTAACCGATGCAAAGTTCTCACATCCCTTCTGGGGACATTACATGATAAATAGTTACGTGGCCATATATAGCATGGGAGACGGGAATTATGCTATTAACTGAACAGCTTGATGCTGTGAGAAGAAGAAAACAGACTTTGGGGGTGCAGCTAGCAGTTTCCACTCCAAGTGCCTCACTGTGTCTTGATTTGTGTGAACAGCACATGTACCATGCTTCGGTCATAGCCCTGTGCCCAGGTAACCATTTTGTAGGGTTGTGTCTGTGGATAAGGATAGATTTAATAAGGGGAACACATGGTTATGCTTTAGTGGAGAGTCAGGGCAGATCTTTAGCATCATCATGTTAAATCTTGTGGCTTAGAAATATTTTATTGTTATTGTTATCTTAAGTACTTCATAACTTTCTAATTTACTTGAAATTTTTAAAAAGCGTTGCTAATTATTATTGTTGAAATACTGTTTTTTGAGTCTTACTGTCAGTAACATTTCCTTTGAATTCATGAGGTTAACTGTATTGGCTATTTTGGGTGATTATTTTTGCTTGACCCCCTCTGGTGGTGGCATGAGTGAGCTGTGAATTTGTCACCAGGCTGGCTATGGGAAATGGGATGGCCAAATATAAAACAAGAGGCCTGTTAAAATCACACAATCTTCAGAATGAACTCTTTTGTACGAGTTAACAATGACTGCAAACAGGTATAAAATACCCTCGATACATATTGCTTTAGTTTAGGGCAATCTTTAAGAAATTTGGAGTTGTTTGGATAGTCATATTATTTCTTATTTTGAAAGAATACTACATTGATGACATCATTTTCTATTGGTGTGGCAAAAATTCTTTTTAAGGTTCTGCAAGTATTTTTCTCCCTTAGGGGCCTCGTTACTAGAAATGTGGGCCAGAAGCTGAGTTTGTTTTGATGTAATGTCCACTTTTAGGTAGTAATAGAGTTACATAGTTCCTGTACCTTTTTCACAATTGTAAAATGAGAAATTTAGGAAGAGTTGCTTCTTAACAAAATTGAGAAAAGAATTTTAAGCTTTAAAAAATGACTTTCAGTAAGTGCCATATAAGTGGGAAATATCTGTGTCACATATTTAGAGACCTTAGAAGATCTCTGAAGAATTTTTGCTATTTTAAATAACTATTTCCTTAGTCCTGTTATTGATGGACTTTGGTTGAAAAAATTAAACATTATATCTTCTCCAGCTGGTCATTGGAAGTTTCTTAATTCTTAGTAGATCTCATTCAAGATCATTCTTAATCTTGGAGTAATAACTTCTGAAAGAAAGAGGTGGATTAAATAAAAAGGAAGGAAGGAAAGAACAGGAAAGGGAAAAGAAGTGGAGAAAAACTGAAAGGGATGAGTGCCCCTGGGGCGGTGAGTCTGAGCTCCTCACCTTTGCTTGCCAGGTGGAGGAGGAGCTGCAGGAGCAGGACTTTTTGGATCGGTGCTTCCAGGAGATGCTGGATGAAGAAGACCAAGACTGGTTTATTCCATCACGAGACCTGCCTCAGGTCATGGGACAGTTGCAACAACAGTTAAATGGACTGTCTCTCAGTGATGGTCATGATTCTGAAGATATTTTGGTAAGAGCCATAAGTAATTCCACATGGGACATAGTGAAAAGAATATGGGATTTGGAGTCACAAACTTTGTTTCTGGTCCTACAACCTTCAGCAAATCTCTGGAACCCTCTGAGCCGCTATTGCTTCACTCATCATGTGGGCATTAATAAGAATGTACATTGGCCCTGACCAGTGTGGCTCATTTGGTTGTGCGTCATCCATCAAAGCAAAAGGTCTCTGGATCGATTCCCGGTCAAGGCACATGCCTAGGTTGCAGGTTCGGTCCCTACTCAGGGCAAGTATGAGAGGCAACCAATAGATGTTTCTCTCCCACACTTCCTCCCTTCCCATTTCCCTAAAAAAAAAAAATAATACTAAAATAAATAGATAAATAAGCAGGTACATTGAAGATGCATTTTACCCGATAAAGCACTGTGAAAACATTAATGTTGCAGCATCACCAACTTTCATTTTCCCCAGTAGACTTTTCAAAGTAGAATTGGGATTAAGGATAAAAAATTGAATGTGGAAAAGGTCTCGTTTCAAATTATCATTTGCTGCCCGCCTTTTACTGCCCTTCAAATCTGTATTTATGTTTTTGAATGATGCTGTAAAAAAATTGTTCATTTTGGAATGAACATGCTCATAAGAGGCTATTTTTTACTTAAAATTAGAAAACCAGATAAACGAATCCCCTGCCTTCCAAGTTTACATACGGAATTCTGAGTGATTTAGTTCTCACACAGCCCATGTTTTGAATGATTGTGCCACACAGTTTGCTAAGGTATTGGTTATTCACAAGGAGCAGACAACCAAAGAGTACAGCAAGATGAAAAAAGATATATGTTTATAGGGACTGTGGTACCAAACTGGTTTGATGGAATTCTCTGATGTTCATTGAGTTAAGGTACTCAATGAATTGAGTTATTTTTGGAGTCAAACTTACAAGCTCCTAATGAAAGCATCATAAAGGGAGCAGGAGTCTGAAGCAGGCAGGAGAAAATGAGGTTGGTCAGAGCTTAGTATGTCAGGGGCCACTGAGAGCAGCCCAGCAGTAATAGCCTGAATTGCAAGGAATTTTTTTTTTTTCTCTCCTTGAAGCTGAGAGGAAAGTGCTGGTAATAGTGGAAGCAGGGAGAAAATATGTTTTAAAGTGAAGCTTGTCATGGGATTTATTATCTCTTGGTTCTTATTTCAGAGCAAAAGTAACCTGAACCCAGATGCCAAGGAATTTATTCCAGGAGTGAAGTACTGAGCTGACAGAAAAGCTTTGAGGAGGACTTGTATGTCCCCACATCTGGGGACAGTGCTGCATAAAAAGTCAGAGCTGAAGGGTGGGGGGAGGGGGGCCCAGGGTTGCACAGCCGGGAAGGGGATAGTGGTTTAACTTGACACTGTGACTGGAGTAGCTAATGTGCTCAGTCTTACTCCTCAAGCCTGAGTATTTCTCTTTTGTTCTACTGACTTTCATTTTGAGCAGTTTCCTGTTGTTATTATTATTGTTATTATTATTATTAGTTTTTGACCTTTTGAGTTAAGGAAATTGCAATCTTCTTTTTACCCTCTTCATCAGGAATGTTCTGCTATGTGTATTTAAACAAAATAAGCTGACCAAGAAAACCTGGGTGTTTACGAATGCCCTCTCACCCTACTGTATACTTGCAAAGGCAGTGCACACCTAGAAAACTACTATCAAGTCTGTTAAACTGGACGGGAAGAGGGATGAGTGGGAGAAGCAGGTGTTGTAAAAGAGTGTGCAACTCAGCTCTCCTGACCCCTGGGGGCTTCCTGCAATGAACTGGGATAACCAATGGCCTGTTGACCCCATGTCTTCCTGCCTCAAACCCTGTTCAAGAAAACACAGATTTAAAGTACTGGTTTATGGTAACTCTTGATGGTTGATGAAAGTTCTAAGTCAGAAGGGGAAAACTGCGATGGTTATTGTCGCTTGAGTCAAACAGTTACTGTTGGCCTATTCTTAAGCCTCTGTTTACAGCTGCTGTCAGACTCATCATTTCAAGGTACAAGAGCACTAAGTTAGATTTGCTTCGTTGTCTCTCATGGTATCTTGTCCCCTAGCCCTTTCCGCCCCCACCCTACTCTGATTTTAAGAAAAAATAGTGTTACCAAAGGTGTGTGAGAGGCATGCTCTTCTAGCCATAAGCTTCAGGCTGGAGAAGTCATCCTTGAATCCTGTTAGTTGTGTCTTAAGTTTGTTTTGACAATTTTTTTTTTCACCCCCACGAAGATTTGGTCCTTTTGGTGTCTTACTTCCCTTAGAAAGGTTTATGCACTTTTACAAGTAAATACATTTTTCAGGACACTAGCAAGCAGCTCAGTTCACAATTTTGATACTTTTCCCACTTTATAGAATTATGCAAAAGAACTAAAAAAAAAAAAAAAGCCTCGTAAAGTGAATTCCACTTGACCCAAGTGACTGTGTGACACCCCGGGATAGTTTCGGCAGTTATCACATTTTGCTGTTCCTACATGCCCAGCTTTGCAAGTTTTCTAGATTGGGCTCTCTGGGTTCATTCCTTTCATCTTTTCTGCCTGTAAGTTACAGGGGGGGTTTGTTGAAACTCATAAGGAACTAAATTGGGCACAGATACTGCCTTCGTGTGACAGAGATGTAGGTGGCAGAGTCAGGTCTAAAAGAGTGTGTCAAGTCCTAGCCATTCTCCCAGGATGAGGACTTGCAGAGGCCTGAGCACAGTGACTTCTGTGTGACTGCTGCTGTGTGTGAGAGAGACATATCAGGAAAAGATCATGTAACTTGAAATAAAGTCTGTGTGAATTCAGCATGTGGAAGTGGGACAGAGGTTGGAAGGAAAGGACTGGAAAGCTTGAGAATTTCTCCTTTTTCTTATGAGTTTTTTGTTGACTTTTGAACAGCCACAGCCTAAGGTCAGATTTAAAGTATGAACCCACATCTTCTCCTCATACGAATCTATTGGATGGCATTATTTGAAAACTGGCCTTTCCTTGTTAGGTCACATGTCATAGGAGAGTAGCTTAAGGAGCTTGCTTTGCCAAATGCGCACATTAATTCCCAAAGCCTCTACCTCGAGAGAATGGAACTTTGACTTGTTTTCAGGGAGGTCTGTGAATAAGAAAATTTCTTTATCCCAGCTTCAGCTCTCAGCTGGGGTTGTTGCCTAAAACAAGGATAGGGCCTTGGAAGTGCAGAAACAGAAATCTTTCTCTCTTCTGGGGCTGCTTTTTTCTTTAGTCTCCATTAGCTTGTCCAGGCTCAGAATTATAAAAGACTGTTGGAAATGTATTATGATTACAGAAAGAGCCGTTTTCTAGACCCTGGAGATCTCCATCACAAAGAGTACAATGGATTCTTGTGTGGCTCCCAGTCTAGAAAGTGCTACAGGGATCCAGATCTAGTCATTTCTTCATCCTGAAGAAGCCTTGCTCTTCTGATACCACGACAGGCTAAGGTGCTAGGTGCAGTCCACCTGGTGTGGGGTTCCATTTTGGATGTCAGTCTTCAGCATGGTTTCACAAGGCATATTTAGTTAGGACTAAGAAACCTTCCCGCCAAGTGAGCAGTGAACCTGAGGGCTGGACTTTCCAGTTCTGTTCAGACACATCGTATGCTAAGTCCAGGATCAGAAAGCAGCTAGCAGTGTAACCCCTTTCTTAATGTTTCAGCTGATGCTTCCAATGGTTCCTCTTATAGCCCAACTCTTTTCTCCATCTGTTTTGTTGCGAGGTGGGCGCAGAGCTGTCACCCAGATCCCAGGCTCAGCTACAGTTAGAGTTTGCCAGCTTCTTAGCAGAAAATGCATCTGGGCCTTGACTGGGGAAGGCCGGGAGCCTCTATCTCAGGCTTCTCATCATAGGAGAGGATCTGGATGTAAGCCGGGCTGGCACCTTTACCCTTTAAAGGTGAGGCTGGTATTTATGTGATCACTTTGATGTTGAATTTAAGTCATCATTCTGTTGAAACTTTTTTATTGGCAACTGGGAGTTTGAGAATTTTTGTAAAAACAGAAGATATATCTTCAACAGTTGACAATTCTGGCTGGTCCCAGTGATAGTTTATTAGTGGTTGATTTCTGATTTTTGTGATTATTGAACTCTGAAACTCCAAGATGAAAATTATTTTATCTCTTGCTCTTTAAGGAGAAAATCATGAAAATAAAGGAAATGTCTTTTCAGTTGCTCCAGGCTTAGAACTACAGCAGAAAACTTGATGGGTACAGCCTAGGCCTAAGTACCTGCAACTTTGGGTCTTTGGGCCAGTTTCTGAATGCAGAAGTTGACTTTTAGGATCATATAAGGTCAAACCAAAAAGATCATAAATAAAAGGCTGAACCTTTGTAGAACCTCTGTTTCCAAAGTCAGAATAGCTGGGAATCTTTTAAGGTCCGAATGCTAACTATGGCTTAAAAATATTTTTAGTGAAATACTAAACATTTTTCAAATTGTGTATTGGTACAGCGTCAAAGTTTTGTCTTAATTTTGGAGAATCTGTGAAGTAAGGTGATTCAGATACTCTGGCAATTACGTGTCAGAAAGGAAAGTCGTTTGAAGTAGCCAAAGAAAACAGCTTGACTCAATCTTCTTACATTAGTGCTGCTGCAAACACCACGTAGAAACAGTAGGAACCCAGGAATCTACCAACTGTGATTGGGAGGAGCAACTATTCTTTGATAAGGGTCCCAGCATCACAAGTTAATAATGTTTCTTGGTTTAGGTGATGTTGAGATATGGGAACAGATGGAAGAGACCTGACATTGACTAAGATTTGGAGATAGCCATCTTTTGGGAAAGACTGTATATCCTCCAGCCCCCTCCTTGAGGATTATGTAAACCTCATTAGTTTAGGAGGTGGGTCCAGAGAACAGGAGGGTTGACCCAGATCTGGTATGCATCAGGAATCCTCATCTCCTCCTACCTGTGCTCATGGTTCCTAAGTGAGTCATTTCTCCCTCATGGCCCACTGGGATCCTTAGTTCCTCTGGTCCCCACTGCCCTCTGTAGTGCACAAAGCACTTTCTGCAGCCACTGCTCTGCTGTCATGTGAATTTCATCCACAGACTTGGTTAGTCACAACTTTGAAAGGTATTTTTTCCCTTTGTTTTTAATCTTCTGTCTTTATTTGTCCCATCTTGCAGCTGTAATTGGTGACAAGGGACAGGGCAACAGGAGGCTGACCAAAGGCAACACTTGTTTTTTGCTTGCTATTTGATCTTCTGCCCACTCCCCTACTGCTGTCCCCAGTCACTTTCTTTTTTATGGGAGTCATACAAATAGGACAGCTGAGTACACTGATCTCCACAGAGTGTCAGCCAAGACTCATCCCAGGGGGAGAAGAGAAATCTGCGAAGGGGCAGGTGCACCACCTTTATTCCAAAAGAAAAAGCCCCCTTATATTTTGTTGTTACTAAGGATCTCATTTTTGAGACTACCTCCTTACTGGCTACCTTTTATTTTAAAATAATCAAGGAACATTCTAGGAAATTTACTATAAAATAGTACAATGTTTTCACTCTGTAACTCAACACTAAGTGATAATCCTGACCTGTTGATTGTGAACCTCAGGAATGTTTAGTGCTTGATGGATGGTTTGGGAGGCAGGGTCTTTTTAAAAAAAAAAAAAAAGAAAGAACTTTGAGGCATATTTCACATACAAAATTCACCCGTTTCAAATGTTAAATTCAGTGATTTGAGTAACTCTCCTCAGTGGTGCAGCCATAACCATAACTCAGTTTTAGAACATTTTCATCCCCTGCAATAAGATCCTTCGTTTATTATATGGTAATTCCTGTTCCCAGCTGTAAGCGACACCAATCTTTGTCTCTGTAAGTTTGTCTTTTCTGGACATGATATGAATGGAATCATACAAAATGTGGTCTCTTGCCTCTGACTTTTTTCACTTGGCATGTTTTGTGGTTCATCCATCATTAACTTGTTAGTTCCTTTTTATTGCTGCATAGTATTCCATTGAGACATGCCACAATTTGTCAGCAAGAAGTCTTTTAAACTTGGATTCCAACCTCTCGTGGTCTAAACTCTCAGAACATAGGACTCTAGGAGAAGGTGCTGTGCACATTAAAGGAACTGTTTATCAGAACCAGCTTTGTCATCAGAAGCTCCACATAAGGAGCCTGAACTGCTGCAGAAATTTTTATGATAATTTTGCAACTTCTTTTTTATAAGGAACTTTTTTGCTGTCTACATGTCAGGACATTTGAAGCATTTGGTAATTAATTTATTCTAAAGTATGAGCATGTGTTTGAGTGCACAAGAAAGTGAACCATCAATAATACTGTTGGAGATTTTATCCTCCGCAACTGGATGGGGAGTCTGAACTTCCTAAATACGGTAT